TTAGGAAATCAAGACACTCTGGCACAGAATAAGAGAGAATGCACTGCACACACACATAAACAAACACACATGTTCTCTCTCTGAGACTAAGAACAGTGACAAGTGTGGCGTATGTAGAGCTGAGCAATATGGCTAGAAAGTAATCTTACAATATTTCAAGAGCTTTTTACAATAAATGACATTTTTTTCTAACATGTGATAAGTTAGTACATCAGATAAGCTGGAGCAGACAAAGTAGTGCCACATTTAAAAAAGTACTTCCAAAACTATGAATCTAATTATTTAACATTTCACATACTGTGCAGCACTAAATCCAATTAAACAGGACAGATTATTGTCACTTTGTTATCAAACAAGCAGTTCTTAAAAGGACAAGAAGTGTTTAAAGGAACAATTAGTAAGATCTTCAGTTTAGAAAATTCCAAAATGAACTAAAATTATCAATACAAAATGAAGACATAACAGTTTTGACGTTATGTCCAAGACGTCTGTGTACCATGTTGCAGAGAGATCTACTGAACTCAGCATGCTAACCAGCTAGGATCGGCTTGTCCTATCTCGTAATACCACTTTGCAAGAGGCAACACTGAGTCACTGTAGCATTAAGTCTGCTATCAGTCCAACATGAGAGGATGAAGAAGTAGCCACCTGCTCCTGGCAAGAAACAACAAAGAAAAGTGGAAGCAAAACAGAAGCAAAACAAAGAGTTAACACTGGCACTGCTTTCCACTGCTGGAGACTGGAGCTCTTGGCGGGTAAAGGGATAAAGTTTGATGCCGAACTCGCAAAATTTCTTCTACACTAGTAAGTAAACAGGGGGAGGACAGGTTGTGTCATCTTACATATTGCTCCATTAAAAACTAACATAATTCACAACATGCTCAAAAAAGCATACGGTGACATATTGTGATTTAATTTATCATAATAATGATAAAGGTCATATTTCCCAGCTCTAAGTGTAACTACCAAAGAAAAGAAGAGAAAAAGTGGACACTGTCAGCACCTTCACGATACGATACACATCACAATATAATACAATGATGAAATACTTCAAGTGCACATATTTTGGTACATTTTTTACCTAAAAACTACAGTAATGAAAACTGAATAAATAAGGTTAGGGAGAATGATAATGACATTTTTTGTTAATGCTTGTTATTTAAAGAATACAGTAAAAATACTGGGCAAGTTTCTAAGTACTACACTATAGCTGTGGTTCACTCTGAGGAGCTGATCATAGCACAAAGAGACAGAAGAGAAAACTTTCGGCACTTTTTATCACAGAGGCAGCAGCAGCCTGCGAGGCAGCAGTCAGTTTGCGGGCACATATGTGTGTTTGAGAGAGGCTGTGGTACTGGTAAAACTACCAGTACAACTAATCACAGATCATATTCCTCACTGTATTGTCATCTGTTACCTTTTTCACAGCGTTAAAACATGAAGCAGCTGCACAAACAAGTAAACAAATTGCTAACTGCTAAGCTCTAATCACAGCACTCACCACAACCACGAACTAAGCCGCATCAGGGAAACTGAAACTAACAAGGATCATACATGCCTTAACAACAGTTAATAAAGGATACTCACTTCATTCACACGCGGCCTACAATAACTTAATAACCAGACCAGACTGGAGCTTTTTACTCCAACGTGGCATCTTATATACATAGCAACAAAAAAAAAATAAAAATAAACCTTTAGTATTAGAAGATGTTTACAGAGGGCTGGATGCCGTAAAACATTGTTCTCTCAGACCTGAATGCAGTATTTCACTTTAGAAATATTGACACAGCCATCACGGAATCGATGTGTGTTTCGCCACAAGTATATTGCTTTATCAATACTTTAAAAAACATTGAATGGTGAAAAACTTTAGGCACACTACAGTCTCATTTTTCTTGGGAGTTCACACTGCATTTTCCACAATATACTCCACTGGCTTATCATCAAAACAAGCAGCTCCTTTTGCTGCTCAGAGACTTTTCAATCTGAACTCTGCCGGCTGCATCTGCATCGTACTGTTGATTAGCACAGACAATTTCTATACTTACTAAGATTTAGAAACAAACTGGAAACTAATTAACATGAAACACATTTATAACAGAAGCCAATAGAAAGCTGCTGAATTTGGTAGTTAAAGGTGTTTGTAAATAATGCTGTAAATCTGCCTAATTTGTTCTTTCAGATCTACAACCCCATTTCCAAAAAAGCTGGGACGCTGTGCAGAATGTAAATAAAAATAGGATGCAATGATGTCCAAATCATGTAAACCATATATATATAAATGAAGCTACTACAAAGACAACATATTAAATGTTGAAATTGAGAAATTTTATTGTTCTTTGAAAAATTTATGCCCATTTTGAATTTGATGCCAACAACACATTGCAAAAGAGTTGGGACGGGGGGCTTATTTACCACTGTGTTTCATCACCTCTTCTTCTAACAACACTCTGTAAGCGTTTGAAAACTGAGGAGACCAATTACTGTAGTTTTGAAAGTGAAAAGTTTTCCCATTCTTGCTTAACATAGGATTTCAGCTGATCAACAGTTCAGGGTCTCCTTTGTTGTATTTTTCATTTCATAATGTGCCAAACGTTATCAGTGGATAACATTCTAGACTACAGGCAGATCAGTTTAGCACCAGGACTCTTTTAATATGGAGTCATGCGGCTGTAATACATGCAGAATGTGGTTTGGCATTGTCTTGCTGTCCATTTTAAATGAGCTCGGGCCCAGAGATGGTGGCAGCATTTCTGGATTCTGTTTATATATGGTTTCTTCTTTGCGTTTTAGAGTTTTAACTTGCATTTGTGGATGCAGTGATGAACTATTTTCACGCTCATACAGTGATTTCCACTGCAGAATCAGGTCTGTTTTTAACGCTGTGCCACCTGAAGGCCTGAAGATCCTGGCCAGCAAATACTGTTTTTTGGCCTTGTCCCTTGCATACAGATATTTCTCCAGATTGTCTGAACCTTTTAATGTTATTATGTACCGTAGATTATGAAAAGCAAAAGTTCTTCGCTGTTTTACGCTGAGAAATGTTATTCTTGAATTGTTGAGTTGATCGTCACAGAGTGGTGAACCCCTCCTTTTCTTTACTTCTGAGATGCTCTTTTTATATCCAATCATGTTACTGACCTGTTGCCAATTAACCACCAGATGCAACTTTACAAGCCTTTTGTTGCCCCCATCCCAACTTTTTTGGAAATGGGGTTGTAATTTTCCACAGGGAGGAATTTACTGTAATGTGTTATACACAGTTGTTATGGATATCAGAAAACACTGGGAAAATGAAAGTAACTGGAACTGTGTTTTTATTGACCATTAGAACAACTCTGGTAAGACAATTTATCAGTATCTCTCCAAGACTCATACTGGTAGAATGTAAAGGCTGTAGCTTTGATTTGAACATTTATTCACAGAATTCAAGTCAAAGGTTTTCAGTTCTATATGCAGGGAAGCATGAACTTCTGTGGTAAGTGACCACGATACAGATGCAACAGATGGAGATTAAGTTGGAATATTCATGAGTGCAATAAACCTCCACGCAATTAAAGAAACGACCACAAAATGAACACAGAATGTATACAACAGTTTAAAAATCTAAGGAAAACGTACATTTTGGTACAACACATTTTTAAGTATAACTAGAAGTAGCTAATATGACTGCTTTTCTGAGCACACCACGGATATCGTCAGTACTTGATGAACACTGAGCAACTGCATGTTTCATTATAAAGAGAGCATAATTAGCCCTGTTTATTTGTATTTGGTGCAGTTTAATATTAAAATACTGAATAAAAATAATTGTACTCTTTTTTATGTATTTTACAAAATGTGAGGGAAATGGTTCTGTTATAACTTATCAAACCTCAGAAAAACTAAATATTGTGATGCATAAGTATTGTGATATTATCTTGTTGCCATATCACAAACTTCCAAGTATAACTCTGCAGCAGTTCTTATAATTTTGAACATGCTCTTGCATCAGTTTATAAAAGTGGATGGCAGCCCATTAAAGTGAAAAAGACCTCCAAAAATGTAATCTTGCATGTAGGGTCAATAATATTTTCCAGTCTTGAGGTATATCTCCGGGAACAAATGCAGCTAAGGAAAGAGAAATGACGTGAGATCTGAAGTGTTGTCTGAAGGTCAGTGCTTGCAATATGGATCAATCCTGGACATTATTGCTCTCTGTCCACATTTAGTGATGTGGAAAGGAAAAAGGAGTGTTTTTCAAATGTGTTTGAGCATCAGATACATCTAAAAAGCTGGCAATAGAATAACAACAGCCTTATTTCAAACAGCCCAGGTTTATTACTGAATGCTGAAAACCATGATTCAGAAATTCCTTTGAATCTTAAGGTTAGACAAGGCAAAGCAGGGGTAAATGTTTTGTCTATGCACCTTGTACACATCCTACACGTCAAACACACATTCGCACGCACTATTCGTCCTCACGAGAGTAGCAATACAAACACACACATGGTTGAGACTGCTTTAGAATGATTTCAGGAACATTTCATCACAATGTCTCCCTCACGTCTCAAACATTTCTAACCGATTGCAGGGCAAGTATAAAAGCAGCCAATAACGGTAACGCAATGAGTCCTAATCAAGGGCTGCATGTGAAGCTAAATTAAAAGTGCAATAAGCCTCATTTCCACACGTTTATTTGCCTATTAACCACATGGCTAGTCAAGGCCAGTGTTGGTGAGTAACGGGACAATATAATGGCAACTTAATATACATTTATGATAGCTTATATAGCATACATAATATAAATATACGGTGGCTTGAATAGTCTTTTTATAGTTATATAATTGCCATTACATTACAGATATCTACTGCAACATACATTTACTACCTGAGGAATCAAGCTGAAATAGTGTAAAGGAGGTAAACGGGACAGGATTGGGATTAAGACTAAAGCAATGTAGCTTGTGTTTCCATAGCTACAATTCAAAACAGAGAAAATAAAGGCAAAATCTTACCTTCTGAAAGAAATCTTCTCCTCCACTTACTCTCCCTTCACTGGCTGCTACAAAATAAGAAGAAGAAGAAAAAGGAGAGAGAGAGAGAGAGAGAGAGAGAGAGAGAGAGAGAGAGAGAGAGAGAGAGAGAGAGAGAGATTAATTTTAATTTTGCTTCATTACATTTTAGCTTAGTATTTGTTTGAACCTCAGAAAATAAAAATATTACATTTACTATACTATATTAGAATGTGTTGGAGTGAGAGCGTTGATAGATGCCAAGTTGAGGCTAGCTTTTACCCTCTGTACTTTACCCTTTGTATAGCTTTATCATGTTTGGCAATTTTTAAATGCTGTGTGTCTGGTAGCCTGTAGATTACAGCTGCAAAGTTTCTGCATAGACTTTTGGCAGTGGAGTGTTTTGCAGGAATGTAAAAAAAAAAAAGTGAGCACACACAAGAAAAGAACACAAATATTGGACCATGTGCACACTGCTGCATGTCGGACAAGACAAGACAGGACAACTCGTATTATCAACATCAGGCACTCAAGAGTGATGAAGTTCGCAGAGCCCTTGCTGACCCACCAGTTCTAATCCTGAAGTGAGGCTGAGCTGAAATGGATCTTTAAGAATGACCACAAAGGGCAAAAGGGCAGAGGGTCAAGCCCCTGTAGGATCTATCTAATTAACATCAGAGTCCTTGTGACCACAATGAGGCAGTAACTGAAAGATACATGTGTACTGATACTGATTAGACTGGAACAAAACAAAACACTCTCCTTAACATCTCAATATGACTGTTTATGACTTTGACTAGCAAAGCCTTCAGACAATGAGCAGTGGTTTAATTAATAAGAGAGAAAAATATGAAAAAAGAGACAAAGAGAAAGAAACAAGGAGACAGAGTAAAAGAGACAATGAAGGAGAGAAACATACAGGAGATGGAGAGACAAAAACAAGGAGACAACTGGGGGAGAGAGAGAGAAAAACAGAGGAGACAGACAGAGAGAGAGAAACAAGGAGAGAGTGAGAAAAATGAAGAGACGTTTTGTCCGCTCCTACACTCTGACCACAAATCACTTTGCCGAAGGCCCATCAGTCCGTTTGGGAATTCCTCTCTGCTGCCAAAGGCGGGATCGGGATCAGGCCCGGTCAGGCCGAAACGAGGAAGACATGATTACACAGATAATCATAAACATGTTTCTCCATATTTCAGCAACACACTGGAGCTCCAGACAGGAAGTGCTGAAGCCCAGAGCTCTCCTCCTAAAACAAATCAAACACGCTGCCCTCTGGAACTGAACCACTCTTTCAGACCACTCAGCAGCGCCTCACTCATCACGGTCAGCACTCATCAGCTGCTCGGTCACTGGCTCTACCGGTGGAACGAGCTGGGTCCGGACAGAGTGATGAAACAACGGAGGAGAAACAGAAAACATACACTGAAAAATATTAAAGGTTGGGGGGAGGCAGAGAGAGAGAGAGAGAGAGAGAGAGAGAGAGAGAGAGAGAGAGAGAGAGAGAGAGAGAGAGAGAGGGAGGGAGAAATAAGAAGAGAGACGAGATGGAGATAAATAAGGAAAGAAACAGAGGGGGAAAACAAAGAGAAAGAGAGAGAGAGAGAGAGAGAGAGAGAGAGAAGAAGAAAGAAGAGAGAAGAGAGAAGAGATGGAGATAAATAAGAAGAAAAAAGGGGGAAAAACAAAGAGAGAAACAACAGAGAGAAGAGAAAGAGAGAGGGAGAGAAAGAGAGAAAGAGACTAAGAGAAACAAAATGAGAGATGAGAAAGAGTGAGAGAAAAAAGAGAGAGATGGAGAGAACTAAAAGGAGAGAAGAGCAAGAGAATGGCAAAGAAACAAAGAGAGAGATGGAGAGAAATAAAAGGAGAGAGGAGAAAGAGTGGGAGAGAAACAGAAACAGATGGAGGAAAATAAAAGAAGAGAAGGAGAGTGGGAGAGAAACAAAGAGAGAGAGAGACAGAGAAAATAAAAGAAGAGAAAGAGAGTGGGAGAGAAACAAAGATAGAGATGGAGAGAAACAAAAGGAGAGAAGAGAAAGAAAGTTGGAGAGAAACAAAGAGAGAGAGATGGAGAGAAACAAAAGGAGAGAAGAGAGTGTGGGAGAGAAACAAAGACAGAAAGTGATGGAGAGAACCAAGAGGAAAGAGCCCTACTATCAAAGTAAACTGACAGCCATCTAAACAAAACTCCAGGACTTTTTTGATATTAAAACAAGCCTTTATGGGTGATGTTTGCTGCAAATGATCTATTTTTATCCTGGGCGTTATGGACGGCGCATGAAGATACTAACATACACTCATGCACTCAACTCTCCATCACTGAGAAATCAGGGAAATCCAGCTGCTTCTGTAAACTGTTGCAACATGTACTGACTGATGTTTCCGGAAACACTTGGACAGTCTGGCATCTAAACAAAAAGACTTCTCACAGAGCCACGAGGTGGGGGTGGGTGAAAACAGCTTCTTACCAACAATGACTTAGGCTTTTCTTTGAAAGCCACAAAGAATAAAACAAACCATCACAAAGAACAGACCATCCCAGAAATTCATGCAGTAATGTTTTTTTAAAAAAAAGCAGCTGTTAAAAGCAGATGAGCCAGTCAGACGAAAAAAATTCCATCAGCAGCATCTGATATAATTTAAGGAAGGACTGATTAGACAATCTGGGTCCTGGATAACAACTGCAATGAAATACTGGGCTTCCACAAGGAGAGGTTTGGTTAAACAAACACATACATAAAACTGCTTATTATTGCATTGAAATGTTTTATATAAAACATAAAAATAAAGGGAAAGACAGGAAACAACTAGTAACGTAATATTTATCATTATGATAATTTACATCACAATATGCTTTGTTCTCAAACACTGACCAACTGCATGTTTCATTAAAAAAAAGCATAATTAGGACTTACTGATTAGTGATTTAGTGCCATGCAGTATGAAATGCTGGATACAAATCCTTTGTGCTCATTGTATTTGACAGTATTTTTAAATGCAGTAATACATGTCCTTTTTCCATCTGTTCCAACTTATCAGATATCAGAAAAAATATTGTGACATGAAAATATTGAATTAAAATACCATAATCACATTTGCCATACTGCCCACACCTCGAAACAAGACCTACATCAAAGCTGGAAAGAATTTGTGCAAAAATGAAAGTATCGCTTCATAAACTGAGGAAACAGTTTTTTGCTTAACCACTGCTGTGCAGAGCTTATCAAATGACCACCTTATCAAATTATGACGCATGAATTATAACTGAATCAACATGCCTTTCTGATTACTTTTGGCGCTGTTAATTAATATGTACTAGCTTTGAAACTGTAGCAGTGTAGCGTAACTCACCAGTTGGCATGATCTCACTTCCAGAACAGCAACAAGCAGCTTTCTTCATTCGTATTAGGGTGAAAAATTAAATTCACATAAATTCTCCACATTATCCCAAATGTAGTCAATCAGCCAAGACATGTTTGTTGTCTAAAGTATGCTTCTTTGATTTGTACTGAAGCTAAGAGGCTAACTTAGCCAACTGGCAATGAAAGCATCAATTACACCATGCTAATTGGTAGGGTGTGTGTGTGGTTAATGGTTTTCATTTAGTAGCTAAGGGGACAGTTACTTTTTCACATAGGGCCAGGTATGGCTGAAAAGCATTTTTCCTTTAATAAACAGCATTTTGTGTTCACTTGGCTTATCAGTGTCTAATATTAAAAGTAGCCTGATGATCTGAAACACTGAAGTGTGACAAATATGCAAAAATAGAACAAACTGGGAAAGGGTCAAATACTTTTTCACAGCACTGTATATATAAATGAAACACCTGGATTTTTAATGAGTAATTCTCTCTGTAGATATTCTCGCACACACAAACAGAGCCTGAAACTGGTATATGACCTTCATATTCACACCAAGCTCCTGTTATTAATAAAACATCCCAGAATATTAAGTCCAATAGACTCAGATACCATCAAAATCCAGACGAAAACCGAGCTAATTAAATTAGGCTCTTTGACGACAGTCATCCGGTCTGAACAGTCCAAACTAAACAGCAGTGAGTTTATCGCCTGATCTCGAGCTGTTCTCTGTAGTAACAGTCGCTGATCACCAAAATCATCAGAATCACATCAGACTACTCTGGAAGAGAAGACCAAACAAAAACAAAAGCAAAACAAAAGTCGAGCCAGGATGGAGAGTACAGTGCAGCGAAGAGAAAGATTAATATCGTGCGCACACACAGACAGGATTAGTTTTGAGGAGGAGGAGTAATGTAATTTTACAACAGGACGTCTGTGATAAGAAATCTCCGGGTAAACTGCCATTATTCCAAACACATTCCATACGCAACACATTCAGCTGCTCACCAGTAGAAAGCACATCCAAACATTTCAGCTCATTGTAATTTTATTCTACCTAGCTGTCTTAAGTGAACGCACTGAGTAGGGCTGGGCGATAAAACAATAACGATAATTATCGCGATATAACTTTCCTTGACAGAACTATAAGAAATGTTTGATAAATGTTTGATATATGTTTGATATAACAGAGCATTCTCACACTTCTACGTTTAGCGACAGCCCTGGTGGCATTTTCTACTGCAAGGAAAGCGGCACTACTCTGCTGTCGCCAGAAGAGGGTGTTTTTTCAACATGATTTGAGGGGGAGGGGCGATGAGTAAAATGAGTCATCAAATATACTTTAGCAATGTCTGAAACGTGGAGTTATATATTCCCTCTTTGAGTGGAGCGATCAGCGATCTGACCTCCTATGACCAAGTGTCAGTGACCAGATAAGTGCCGTAACTGTACTAGCCCAGAGTGAACTCCCCTCTTTCCCAACATCCTAACAAGCTTTAGCAGCGTTAAATCAGCGTAAAATAAACTACAGCACTGTTAAAGCACTCAGACAGTCGTATTTTAGCATTTCTAAGCAACAAAAGTGAAAGAAAGAAGTGGGTTTATGCAAGTTACAGCACTGATTTAAACAAAAGTAAACTGAGGATGATGTGTGGCATTGGAGAGTGGGAGAACGCTAGCTTCCAAGG